GGGTAACTTAATAAGACCTTGTTTCAAAGTAAAACTGAGGGTAGAACACTTGCCCAGCACTAAGCTCAGCCCATGTGTAAAACAGCAGGAAAGCTGTTTCTGCGCCATTAGTCTCCTTTAGCGGCAACCCCCAAATCAGCTGGGGAAGGCGCAGTAACCACTTCCACCCCCACCTTTGCCTGTCCCCTCCCTCCTGAGACATGCCACATGGAGTGGAGTGCAGTCCAGCAGATAAATAATAAAGTCCTGACGGGAGAGGCTCCTGTTCAAGTCTTTATGTTTCCTCACTCCAGAGAACCCCATCCCGGCAGCTAACCACACTGGATCCCAGCTGCAAGCCCTTCTCACCCGCATCCCTCATCTGCTGTACTAGAGCCATAGATAACAAGGCTGCTCAAAGAGTATCACGGGACTGAGGGGAGGGGCCCGAACTTGCGGCGACCGATCAGGGTTTACAGGTGTAACCAGGAACATTCCACTCCACCCCAGCATACACAGGTCCCTTCTGTCACTTGCTCAACCCTGTTCCCGAGGCCCACGCTACCCCAAGAAGGAATCCTAGGCAGTCCTCATGAAGTCCTCTACTCACTTTTTAAAAATTATTCTTTACTTTTTAAGATTGTAATTGCATCATTCCCCTTCTTTCCCTCCCTCCAAACCCTCCCGTTTGCTCCTCCTTTCTCTCTTTGAAATTCACGGCCTCTTTTCATTAGTTGTTATTACATACATATCTGTAAATGTACACACACACAGAGACAGATACGCATGCGCATGCACACACACACACACACACACACACACACACACACGCACACATTCCTAAGCACCCTGCTCAGTCTGTACAATGCCACTTGCTTGTGTGTTTTCAGGACTGATATTTGGTAATGACTAGCCAATTGATGTGCTCTCCCTGGGGAAGACAATTTCTCCCACTCTTGACATTCCATAGTGACCTGTAGTTCTTTGTGTGGAGCTGAGGTCTTTCCCCTGCTCGAATGAGCATGTCTCTTGTTGTGCTTGTTCAGCTCACGTTTAGGCAGGCCTTACTGATGAGACTTCATGGGTGTGGCTTTTGACCTTCGCAGGAAACACAATCTCAGAGCAGACTCCCTGGTCCTCTGGCTTTTACAGTCTTTCCGACTCTTCTTCCACAATGTTCCCTGAGTCTTAGATGCCAGAGTTGTTTTGTAGCTATATACACTGGGATTGAGTTCCACAGCTTGTGATTGGCTGAGGTTTTCTGCAATGGTCTCTGTTGTAAAGAGAAGTTTCCTTGATGAGGAATGAGGACTACATGTATCAGCCTAGACCCTGGAGAAGGATGTGTAGGATTTCATTGGGTGGAGAGGCTGGATGAGTCTTGGTTGGGGGCGGGGAGGCTCTTGCTCACTCTTAAATACTTCTCTGAGGCCATTGGTTCCCTGACTTCAGATTAGTAAATAGTTTATTCGGTGTAGTAACAAAACTCCTACCAACCTTCAGTCACAGCGGAACCATCCCTTCCTCTTTGGTGAAGTAGAGAGTGCAGGGCCAGGGCCAAGTGACACAAAGGCTTCTGGGAACTCTGTATCTGGAGTTCCATTGTCACAAGAGTATGTGGCCTGCCCATCCTCTGATGTCAATCACTTCAGAAAGTCTCTTAAAGATTGACATTTGTCTTTTTTTCGGTCTTGTGTGTGTACGTTTGTAGGTGTGCAGGCCATGGGCGAACTCAGGTACCATGTATCTTGTGAGACATGGATTCTCAGTGGCCTGGGATTTGCTGACTGGGCTAGGCACGCTGGTTGGCCAGCAAGCCTGAGTGATTTGCTTTTTCTGCTTCCCCAGCAGTGGTGTTAGAAGCATAAGCCACCATACCCTGCTTTTTTTCACAGAGGTCCTGGGGATTGAACTCTGGTCCTCATGCTGGCACAGCACTCATTTACTGAGTGACCTGTCAGCCCAACCCACACTTCCTTTCTTTCTTTGACAAGATCCTTCCATGTAACATATTCCAGCTGACCTCGAGTTTGAGACTCTCCCATTTCCATCTCCTGAGTGCTAGATTATAGGCCTGTCATTCCTTTGAGATTTCTATCCCTGAAGTTGGAGAGAACACACCTCCCACTGTCCAAGGTCTTACTACTTTCAGATGAGAGAAAAGCACTTTCCACACCCCCAGGTTGGAGAGAGATTGGGCCATGAGGTTGGGTGGGTGAATGGGCTCCCTGTTCTGTATGTACGAAGTCTCCAGGCTCCTACCTGTGCTTTGCTGTGGATGAGCACCGGGACAATCAGGAAATCCGAGCCTAGTTATGCTTTTGGGGTCCTACCCAGAGGGTCTGATCTATACTCTATGAGACAGAGGGGTATTCATGGGGGCCTCAGCCCATGGCCTTCATAAATACAGAGGGTGATAGATGTGTCTAAACACCTAGAGATAATGTCCTTTCCATTCAAGGACCCTGGCATGGGAAGTTGCCCAGGAAACATTATTCAGTCAAGTGACTAAATCTTAATCTACTCAGTGATTGCCTCTAATGATTCTCATCATTCCCCAGGCAGGCTGAGCTCTGGCTAGATTTCTGCCCTTGCTGGGTGGGAGCTTTCCAAAGCCTGTGGTTTCAGCTGTTCTACTTGTCCTGGGGCCTGGGGCTAGCCCCACTTGGAGGATGCAGCCATTTCCTCCCAGCCCCAGGCAAGCCTTGCTCACCCTGATGGAACTCCCTAGACTATGCTTGAGCCCCAGGATCCCTGGCTTGCTTCCCCTCACTGTGTGGAATTTACCTGTGTTCTCATACCCCCCAACACACACACACACACACACACACACACACACACACGCACACACACACGCACACACACGCACACACGCACACACACGCACACACGCACACACGCACACGCGCACACGCACACGCGCACACACACGCGCGCACACACACGCACACACACACGCACACACACACACGCACGCACACGCACACACACACGCACACACACACGCACACACACACGCACACACACACGCACACACACACGCACACACACACACACACACTACTATGAACTAAGACACATGTGGCAGTAGTTTCTTCACGGTACTCAGAAAGCAGAGAGAGGCAAAGGCCAGCACGCCACAGTCCGGTTGTCTTTTTCACCGCCCACACACCAGGCTTATGAATGGATGAGTTATAAATGAGTGAATAATGAATGGATGTGTGTATCAGTGAGTCAATCAATTCATTGATCATGGATGATTAATGGGTTGGGAGAACTTTGCTCTTCACTCCACCTCAGTTGAGCAGTTTTAATAGGCGCCTTGGTGATTAAACAGAGCCAAGGAATTTCTCAGCATAAAAATTAACCTAGATTTTTCTGCCCCATCCACCCTGAGCTATGGACAAGATATACTATGGAAGATGTGTGGCTCATATTAGGTCATCACAGCACAGTATCCCAGAGCAAAAGCCAGTGTTCTGGGTGCTGATGGCTGGCCTGCATCTCTCCTGGGGTTTATTACATCCTTGTAATTCCTGAAGTACAGCTAGTGGGGTCATAGTGACTGTGGCAATGGGTCCCGTAGGAAGTGAGCATGCCCTGCCTCTGACAGTTCAGGAGTGGGATGCGTTGCCTCTTCCCTGTCTTCAGACTTCCAGTCTACAGTATCCAGTGGCCCATGCTCACTTCCTCTTCCTGGAGCTCCCGGTACATATACTGGCCATGCCCTCGCCTTCAAACACGCTCTTTGCTTCCATCCTGCACCCCCTCGGCTTCCCCCTTAACTGATCATTCTCTCGGCTCCTCTCCCCTACCACCCCTCCTTCTGAGGTGGTTCATCTTCAATATCAACTTGAATGGATTTAGAAGCCCTTAGGGAACTGCTGAGGGACACCTGTGGGGTCTGTGAGGAAGTTTCCAGAGAAGATTGACAGAGGGGATGGCGGGGAGACCTGTCCTGGGTGTAGATGGCCTCCAGATGGAGTGATAAGGAAAAGGGGGAAAGAAAAGACCCCCAACTTCTGGTCTTTGCCTCTCTTTGCTCTCTGGGCACCAAGAAGACACTCCTACCATTCTCCCACTCCCATGATGCTCTGCCTCATGGCAGAGAGGACGCATGGAGCCAGGTAACTGCCAATCGACTTCTCTGAAACCGTGAACTAAATACAAGATCTCCAAGTTGTTTCAGATATCTGGTCACGGCAGTAAGAACATAAACAAAACTAGAAAGCCTAACACTGTCCCTTGTCTTCCACAATCCTTTCCTCACCTTTTCCTCCTCCTCTCTTCTGTCTCTCCCCTCTCCTCCTCTCCTTGCATCTCCTCTCCTTCCCCTTCCCTCTCCTCTCTTCTCCCCCGTCACTGCCTCAGCGACCTTCCCCATCCTCAAGGCATTTGGTATCACATGTGCACTGATGACTCTCAAATATTTATGTTCTCTCTTCTGAGCTTCAGTTCACGAAGCCTGTCTGGCAGCCTCCTCTTGTTGGAAGCCTCTAACTGGACTTCGGTCACCTCCCCACTTATCCACTCCAGCCTTGCCTGCCTCAGTATCTACCCAAATATTCAGGCCACCATCATTCTTGCCTCTTTCTCATCTTTACCTCTACATCAGCAAATTCCATAGGCAGTAACTTCAAAGTAGCTCTGGAATCTGTGTCTCTTTTCCCTACCTCTACGCTGACCCAAGTTACAATCAGTCCTTGCCTGGATTATTTCCTCACAGGCCTCCTCGTTGCTCCACCCTGCCCTACTTTTTTCTCCACACAGCAGCCAGCATGGTCCTTCAAGACAGCGACTTATATCATGCCTCTCTTCTGAGTAAATATTTCAGGGTGTAGCTCAGTGGTGGAGTACTCACTTAGTATGCACAAAGCTTTCTGCCCCCATCATAACATACACACACATATACACATAAACATATATACACATGCACACACACACACACACACACCCACAATAGCTGGAGCATTGGCAGTATAGATGAACCCATGAACAGATTAGATGAATCAATCAGTAAATGAGAAGGCTTTGTCTTTATCAATGGAAAGACCCATTGATAGAGTCATAAACAATGTTGTTGGGAGGCAATGGACGCTAGAGGGTGACTTTAAAGAAAATAGGCCACTATGGGGGTGGGGGTCATGCTTTTGAAGGGTATAGCTTGTCCCCAGTTCCTCTTCTTCCTCCCGTCCTCTCCTGCTGGCTGCCATGAAGTGAGCAGTCTGTTCCACCAAGCACCGGTACCATTATGTCCTTCGTCACTGCTGACCTGGGAACAGTGGAGCCAGCTTATCACAGACGGCAAACTTTGAAAGTGTGCACCCAAACACATCTTTGCTCTTTTGAGTTGACTTTTCCAGGTTATTTGCCACAGCATAGAACACTGACCCAGGCAACCCATGGCCATGTCATTGCTGTATCTTCCTCCACTCAGCCTTCCATACAGGATTAGAGCTCTCTGAGGGCAGACTCCTGTTTACTTACTCCTCACTGCACCCTGTGCCTAGGACAGTAGCAGGCAGTCTTGAGACTCTCCACGAGCTTGAACAAACTCACCTGTCCTCTCCTTCCTACACGTTCATGGAGAACCTGTTCCAAAGCCACACCCTTTCCCATGCTCACCAAGGTGGGGCTAGCACAGACATACAAAGTGATAGCCGTTAGATTGGTGGTGGGAGGAAACAAAACTAAAACAGAGAGGTGGCGAAAATCTACACTGTGTCACACCAGCTCCTGGGGAAGTGTCATCGAGATGATGGCGGGTATGAGCTGGTCGCTTTCTGGCTGTACCCAGAGCTCAGGTCTGGGATCTCACAGCAAGAGTCTGTCCCAGGCAGGAGAGAGCCACCTCTTAGTGCAGCACCGAACCCTTTCCACAGCGCACCCCTCCCCCCCACTAGGGCTGCCCAAGTGTGACCACAGCGCACAGAGTAGTGAGGTCTAACCGGGTGTGTATCTTTGTGCTGAGCCCTTTGTGGGCTCTGTGACGTCAGTCTTGTAGATCCAGTCAGGTGAACACCATCATTACTGTTTGCTGAAGAAATTGCACACTGGGCAGCGTGAAGCTTGCCCAAGGAAACTGAGTGGGAACAGACATCTGCCCTTCTGATACTGGGCGGGAGCAGACGTCTGTCCTTCCAGTCCTGAAGGCATCCTCCTTGAACGGAGGAGAGGTTACTTAGAGAGCTAGGATGCCCCAGGTCACCCTTAACTCCCCTACATTAGGTGAATAACCGACAGTTCTTACTTTATGTGACTTCCAACCCCAGCTCCTCCTGAAATTTAAATACAGGACAGAGATTTCCAGGTGCATATGCCTATAAAACATAGGTGTGAACATTGTGGTAAAGGCTGTCTCGCTTTTAATGGGGAAAGAGGACATGGCCACAGAAATATTTCCAGGGAATTTACATAGAAGGAAGAGAATAAAAGCAGCCTTGGCTTCTACAAGGAAGTGGAGGCATGGTTTACAGTGCTATGTACACAGAAACTTCTGGTAGGACAAGAAAGATGCAGGGTTTCACATCGAACAACCTTCCACAGTGCAAAGGTCTCTGGGTGTGTGCCTAACTCAACTAGGTCCCAAGAGTGGCAGTGTGGTGGGGGAGCGGCTAGACCAGCCCACGGCATAAGCCATTCAGGTTGGCACTCACTAGCCTGGCATCTAAGAGGGGGCGGTCATGAATCCTAAGTGATAAAGGAGATCAGTGGGAAGTCAGGTGTGGGAAACCAACAAGGAAGTGGCTACCATTGTCTTAGGAGGGATGGAGGCAGCAGTCAGGTGAGGAGAGAGAGAGAGAGGGAGGAAGGGGACTCAACATGGATGGCCAGAAGGACAGCATGCTTCACTTGAGGTCTGGGAGATGTTAAAGGAGGGTTACTCTGGAGCAGGGGTTCTCAGCCTTCCTAACGCTGTGACCCTTTAATACAGTTCCTCATGGTGTGGTGACCCCCGACCACAAAATTACTTTTGTTGCTACTTCATAACTCTAAGTTTGCTACTGTTCTGAAATGTAATACAAATATCTGTGTTTTCTGAGGGTCTCGGGTAACCCTGGTGAAAGGGTTGCTCCACCCCAAAGGGGTTGCAACCTCAGGCTGAGAACCACTGCTCTGGAGGGAACACAAGGGGCAGGCTTGGGGATCGGACAAGCTTTTTAGGTGTCATGAGAACAGGTGCTCTTTGGGACAGCCATGTGTAGTAAGAACACACACCAGTGTGTGGTAAGGACATTTAAGTCCAGAGCTTGACTGGGACACACTAACACAGGGCCTCACTCTGACAGGGGCCGTGGAAGGGGAGAGTCAGTTTCTGATCTTGGAAAGCCAGTAGGAGAGGTGGGCTTTCGTTATGCCACCAGATCTAAGACTGTGAACAATGGAGGGAACTCAGCCCAGCTACACTTAGTGGTGTAAGCCTGTAATTCTGGCACCTTGGGAAGCTGAGGCCAGAGGGTCTCAAGTTCAAGGTCTGCTTGGGCAACGTGGTATAAGTCTGGCCCACCATAAAAAAGTAAATAAAACGCAGAGCTTGGATACAGCTCAGCAATAACATGGCTTCCTCGCCTGCATTAGGCTCTGGGTTCAAACAAACCAGCAGGTTACAGCAAACTGAACTTGAGGCAATCAAATGGGGTAGAGCTGATGGCCTGACCACTAAACCATCCCCAACTTGTATAATTCTTTGGGACACAGTTTCCACGACGGCTACACAGATAGCAATACATCTTGGAAGAGGCATTGCAGAGGAAGTATGCCGGTACACAGGAGGTGTCAGCAACCAGCTCTAGTTAGACATCAGCAACCCAGGCCACCAGCTCTCCATGCTGGGGTTTATCTTCATACATAATATAAGCTGTAGCTCCAAAAGCCCCAGCCTCCAGAATGGACCTGAGGAAGTTCCCTTGTCCAGAGCCTGGCCTTCCTCCATGACAGCCGCTACCTCATGTGGCAAGGTCAAGGCCCACCTTGTCCTTTCGGGTAATTGAAGATGACAACAGTATTTTGGGTCTCACAGGGACTACTGGAGATCAAAGGCAGTAGTAAGGAGTGGCTGCGACAGGCTGGAATTCCCTGGCAATTCTGAAATTACTGAAATTGGCCACAGTTATGGCTATTACCATGAGGACTGCTGGCTCCCCTACACTGCCGAGGGACGTGTGTCTGACAGCAAGGTGAGAGTTGCCTGTGGCGGGGCTGATGGGACACTTCCGCTGACCACAGTTCAGACTTCAGGACGGATTACAGGTTCAGAGATGGGCAAAATGGAATCTGGGAATCAAGGAATCAGAGCGCCTTGAAACCTATGTGAGGGGAAGAAGTGACTTCCAGAGACTGGCTGTCATGGTGGCTGTAGTTGCCTCTCAGTAGAGGTACATGCTGGTTTTCTGCCCCAAGAGCCTGACAAGAGAGGGTCACAGAGTCCACTGGGCGAAGAGTCGTGAGAGGAAGCAAGACCCTGAGCCTCTGCTGGTGCCAGAGGCTACGCCTGCCTTACCAAGAACGGGGGCTGGGGGAGGGGTACTAAAGAACCCAGACAGCCCAGTGACTTCCAGCCCAGGAAGCTCTCTCCACAGGCTCCAAGACTCCAGGCCACCCTGGGGCTGCTCCCCCACCCTGTCCCACCCATCTTCTGCCTCAGATCCTGCAGGAGGCTGTAAAGGGAATGTTCCTTACAGAATGTCCCTGTTCAGTCAATAAGGCCCCATTATTGAGTAAACAAGGAAGCTTGTATCAGCGAAGCCTCGGATTTTGCTTTTAAAAGCCGATGATTGGAAGGCTTGAATAGTAGAATAGCTTGCTGACAGGAACAATCGAGATAGCCTGTTAACTGTAGGCAGAGAGGGCGTGTAGTCATGCTCCCACTGGAGCGTGGACCTCCCCAGCTGCTCCATGGTGACAGGTGTCATCCCATCAAAGCCTTTCCTGGTGCTTTCACACCTCTTCAAAGGTTCTCGCTGCAGCAGGGCCACCTCCAGACCACGTGTGGGCACTGGGGAACCGTGTCTGCCCGGGGACCTGGTGACATATTGGGGCCCTTGCTCTCACCCAGTCACTCATCAGCAGGATGATGCTGAGGAATCATGTCCTGTGTCAGAATTCTTTTGCAAGCAAGAGCCGGCAGCATGGCTGCCCTGTTCAGGAAATGGCAGTTCCAAGAGACTGCCCATCAGGCTTAGGGCCTCGTGGGTAGGGGTGAGGCAAAGCAGTCCGGGCAGCAGAACTCTTGGGAAGGTCTCCTGGGTTACTTCTCTGTCCTCTTATTGGACAAGTCAATTTCTTGCATTTTTAGCGCTGCTTCCCTCTGCTCAAGACAGAAACTTTAGGGACTGAGGTGTAGGGTCAGAAGTCTAAGCTCGTTTCTAGACCTTGAAATCCCACCAATATCTGAGCTCGGAATCCCACCAATCCCTAAGCTCACCCTAAGCTCAGGACTTGAAGTTCCCCCAATTCCCACCCTGGAAAACTCCAGCTTTGACTCCCTACTGCCAGGATACCATCCCCCTCAGAGTTGTAACACCTACACGAGGGAGTGTTCTGAATGGGCTAAGCTGGTCCTATCTTTGTTCTGTGGCTATAAGAAATACATCTTGTGACAGTTTGAAGAAGAATGATCACCCCATGGGCTCATATGTTTAATAGTTGATGGAACAGTTTGGGAAGGATTAGGAGTATGGCCTTGATGGAAGGGGGGGGTCACTGAGGGGCCTTTGAGGTTTCAAAAGCTCATGCCATTCCCAGCTAGCTTTCTCTGCCTTGTGCTTGTGGGTCAAGATCAAAGCTCTCAGCTATGGCTTCCGAGCCACACCTGTCTATGTACCACCAGGTTCCCCATCATGATGCTCACAGACTCACCCTCTGAAAGTGTTAGCAAGCCTCCAGCAAACCCTTCCTTCTCCAAGTTGCCTTGGTTATGATGTTTCCCAGCGGTAAAAAAAAAAGTGACTAAAACGAGCCTCTTGATAGAGAATCCCAGCAGCCTAGAAAAGATGCTTGCTTGCATTAGTAGGAGCGTACATGATGTCGGACAGGCAGAACCAACATTTGTTCTTCAGCCATGTCCTCTCTGCAAACTGGAGATGGTCATGCCTACCCAATGGAAACATGGTACCAGGTGGGAGCAGCCATGTGCCTGACATAGCTTGTAGAGTGTCATACAGTACAGTGACAGCCTCCCTGGGTCTGTGACTGTTATGACAGTTGTATGCTCCTGCCATTGGGACTGGATGTCTATGGCCGCTTCTCTGAACTCAGAGGGTGTCTCCTCCC